TTAAGCGCTATAACTTATTCTCTTTTAAATTCAGAAAGTGTCGATATTAATATTAAATTATCGACACTTTCAATATATTCGGTAACTTTGTCTGGTTTTGTCATTTTTGAGACCAGTTTTATCATATTTTTACCTGTTATATTGTTATGGATCGATACATTTTCATAAAATGTCGACACTTTTTAGTTTAATTTCAGAAAGTGTCGATACTTATATTAAATTATCGACACTTTCAACATATCTGGTATCGTTTTACTGGTTTTGTTAATTTTGGGACCTGTTTTATCATATTTTTACATTTTATATTGTTGTGAATCAATATTTTTTTTAAAGTATCGACACTTTATAGGCGCTATAACTTCTTCTCTTTTAAATTCAGAAAGTTTCGATACTTATATTAAATTATCGACACTTTCAATATATCCGGTAGTTTTTTTTACTGGTTTTGTCAATTTTGAGACCTGTTTTATCATATTTTTACCTGTTATATAGTTATGGATCGATACATTTTCATAAAGTGTCGATACTTTTTAAGCGCAATAACTTTTTCTCTTTTAAATTCAGAAAGTGTCGATATTTATATTAAATTATCGACACTTTTAACATATCCGGTAACTTTTTTCGATTTTGTCATTTTTGAGACCTGTTTTATCATATTTTTACATGTTATATTGGTAAGGATCGATACATTTTCATAAAGTGTCGACACTTTTTAGATGCTATAACTTATTCTCTTTTAAATTCAGAAAGTGTCGATACTAATATTAAATTATCGACACTTTCAATATATCCGGTAACTTTTTCCGGTTTTGTCATTTTTGAGACCAGTTTTATCATATTTTTACATGTTATATTGTTGTGGATCGATGTATTTTTTAAAGTATCGACACTTTATAGGCGCTATAACCTCTCTTTTAAATTCAGAAAGTTTCGATACTTATATTAAATTATCGACACTCGACACATATCTGGTAGCGTTTTATCGGTTTTGTCATTTTGGGACCGGTTTTGTCATATTTGTACATGTAATATTACTATGGAGCGATCCATTTTTCATTTGTATTGACACAAACCGACAAGCTAAGTTTACCGGTTGCCAATTTTTTTAATATTTCTTAATGATTTAGACCTACTACATTATTATTACTCAATATTTCCGGTAGCGCTAAACCGAATATTATAAATATATTATAATGTATCCGGTAACGTCGTATATTAGTCCGCCTTTTCAGAGACAATCCCTAGACAAGACTCGTTTTGTAAAACATGCTTCTTCAGCTCGATTTAAGAAACAAAAATACCAATTTAATACATGTTAGAGAAAATTCTTAAAATGGCGTTTTTTTTAGGGATATTAGGATAAAATTGGCAAACACCGAGAAATGATCACGTGCGGTAGCCTTAATATATGGTTAAAAAAGGGCGTTACTAATTTTGTTATTAGTTTTTTAACAAAACTTATAAAAAATTACTGGAAACATTATTATTTCTATCGGTTTTGTTATTATTCAATGCTTTATTGGTTTTATTAATAAATCCGATAAAACGCTACCGATTTTGTTATTATTGGACACTTTATCAGAATTATTAAAAAATATTAATATTTTAGATAAAAATAATAATATTTTATATATTTTTATCAGTTTTATTAAAAAATAATAATAAAATCGTTAATATCTTTTTTTAATTATATATTAAAAATGGCATACTCTAAAAATCCCCGCAAATACCATTGCTTTGGATCTCTGTATGATTATACTCCGGAATTATTATCCAAAAACCGCCATTTTCACTCACCTAGTCATCGTTCATATTCAATCCTTAACCCATTTTTGCCCCTATCTTTTTCATGTCATCAAGTGACTTTTTATGGACGTTTAAACCATAATAGTAATATGGGTAAAGTATAGTAATGGTCATTGAACTTTTCTAAAGCTTTCATTTAGGTTTTCCAACTTTTAAAACTTGAAATATAGTCCTCCAACATTTAATCCATTTGCAATATGGTTCCCGACGTAACTGGCTGTTTGACGCCATTACACTACCGTTCAACTATAAAATTTTCAAAATATGAAAAAAATCCAATTCGTTTACGATATATCAGTCTCATAATCAACATGAACTTATTAAAAAGAATACGAGCTCACAAGACGCCAAAAACCATAGGTCGGATCAATACAATTCCCAGTAAACTAGTACCAGCAGTCTCTCGGATTGAGTCTGGCCATTTCACTATGTCGATACTCACAACTAATTACATGATTTAAAGAAAAACCAAACAAGAAGATCAAAAAATTTAGCCTAAGACCCTTTTTCACTTCTATTATGATGGACTGAATATCTTTTATAAGGAGTACTAAAAGTTTTGATTAAGAAGAAAGAAAGAAAATTAGATGGTTTTGGTTCAAAACTAACACTGAATATCTAGATCATTGGCATGCAATTCCATAAACATAAAAATTTCAACAAAAAATGCATAATGCGAGCTGAAAATGGTAAAGTGCGAAAGAGGAAAAGTTTATTTCTGGATAGCCCAAAAGAGAAAATAAATACCTTCTTGCAAGTGAAGGGAGAGGCTAAGAAATAAATACAATCAGTGTTGTTTTCCAGCAATTATTCCTCCATTTTTTCTTTATAAATAAAAAGTTGAAAGACATAGTACTATTTGGGTTTACAATTTTACATGGTGGAAAATTGAAGAACAATAACCAAACGAGAGTGCATGTGAGCGAAAGAGACTGAGAGGTGAATGCGTTGTTTGAGATTTCATTATATTTGATCATCTGTTGGAAAATCTTTAACCACAAGGATTAAACGAAGAAATTATTATATGCCATTTATACAAAATTATTTCAGCTTTGTTGGTGACTTTCAACAATGATACATAGTTCATCTTAGTAGTATTTGTCAACTCTGCATTTCTAACCCCATTTTTTTCTCACAAGCATTTCATCGAACATCTATGCTTCACCTGAGATGACTTGTATCTAACATTACACCTTGAATCGTTGATGGTCCCGATAGTCCCTTCGTCGAGTTTTCTCTCAATGGACCCTTGTTCAAGTCAACACCTCCACATAATTCAAAGTTAGATTAGAATTTTCCATGCATCCCCGACTAAAACGTTACGCTGAAAATGAGAAGAGAGAAGCGAAAAAGGAAATTCGAGATTGAAAATGAATTTGGGGTTTAGAATGAAATTGAGGATTGTGTTGTAAGTTTTAAAAGTTGGGGGACCTAAATGTAAGCGTCTGAAAAGTTTAGTGACCATATTGTAAATGTACTAACGGCAGTGTAACGATGTCAAACGGTTGGTTAAGTCAGGGACCATATTGCAAAAGGACTAAATGTTGAAAGACTGTATTGTAAGTTTTAAAAGTTAAAGAATCTAAATGAATGCTTAAAAAAAATTCAGAGACTATTACTATACTTTACCCTAGTAATATTCCAAGTGCGTCCTCCAAAGAGAAAACCATTGGCTGTTTCCACCGTCTCATACCACGAGCCACACAGCAATAGCATGAGGTTTCTTTCCCTTTCTAACCCTATCCTATATATGCAAGAGGTCACTTCACCCACCTCCATCAACAAAACAAACAACGAAATCCCATCTAATATCATCTTCTTCAATTGTAGGATTTAAGAATCAAAGTGTAGTTGCAAGATGAGTTCAACAAGCAGAGCATGGATTGTTGCAGCTAGCATGGGAGATGTGGAGGCTTTGAAAGATCAAGGTATCTGCAGATGGAACCAGAGTTTTAAATCGAGATTGCTGTTGCGTATTCGATTATTTCAGATTTATCGTGATTACGGCCGTCTCGAATAACTCGGAAGGCGGCAAAATCACGGTCGCGGACCGTTTTTTAAAACCTTGAAATTATACTGTCAGGCCAGCCGTCCAGCATGCCAAGAACCATGTCAGGTATGCTTCTCAGGCCAGGAACCTCTCTTCCCAATCCTCAGCTGCAATTTCAAAAGGACTGTGCGGGCATGACAAGTCAACAATCAGAAGAGTCATCGAGGAAAGTTATGTACTTGAGCTGTTGGGGTCCGAACTGAGCCATAAATTAGACCAGTTGATTAGAAGCTGGAAGCAACCATCGTTTGGATAGATCATTTGCCTCATGAGTGCATGCTTTGGTCATTCAAAACAAGGCTCCAGAACTGAGCAAACAAACATACTTGTGCATGGCTGAGCTTTCCATGGGTGGGTTCTTGTCTTTATGAATGTATATGGCTTACAAAATGATGTACGAGGGGAAATATTTATCTATCATCGTGCAATAAATGAAGATAATTTTGAAAATTTCTTGCTTTTCATATCTACTTCAGTCTTCCTTTCTTTGTTTTCTTCAATTCTGCAACAGTTTTTCCTGATGTTAGTCTAGGGAGATCTCGGAATCATCCCAAATTTTGGAACATAAAAGTCTACAGATACCAAATCAATAAGAACAAATGAGGCAGGCAACAGGAAACGTTTGATTGGTTCATCGATGGTTTTGTGGGTCGAGCTAGTATGGAAACGGCTTGATCCTGGCAATCTCGACCTTTTCAAGTTGACAAAAACCAAGTGAATTTTATAACATGTTTTAATGTGAAATAGCTGATCCTTAGTCCTGCGGTTAAAACACCAAGCTTCATACGCTAACTGCAACTGGTACTGGAAGAGTCCAGTGTCAGCCACTCCTAATTTCCGTGAAGCTCAACTCTACTTACCAAAGCAACGAGAACCGCAGAATGAGGCTAAACTATTTACAAAATTAGGGAAAAAACGATCACTATGAATAAAATTAATATACCTATTATCAGTAAAGCTTGTGGGTTTGAAATATGTTTAATTGGGCAGATTTTGGATTCGTTTGATTTCTAAAGTTGGTTCAATTCTGTTATCTCCCTGGACTAAAAATCGTAAAAGAAAAAAGTTGTGAAATTGAGGAAAAGGCATCAAAACTGAAACAGGGATGTCGATATCAGTAGCACGAAGAATGAGAAGCAAGCAATTGTGAAAATTCATTTCCATTAGTTATAGGATGATTGGACAAATATTACTCTGCTATATCATTTTGTAAGCTATATACATCGTAAATACACCCATGAAAAGCTCAGCCATGCCCGAGTATGTTTGTTCGCTCAGTCCTGGAGCCTTGTTTCGAATCACCCATACGATGCTTGCTTCCAGTTTCTAATAAATTGATCTAAATTATGACTCAGTTTGGACCCCAACAACTCAAGTACATGACTTTCCTCAACGACTCTTCTGACTGTCTAGACTTGTCATCCCTGCTCAGTCCTTTGGAAATTGCAGCTGAGGATTGGGAAGAGAGGTTCCTGGCCTGAGAAGCAGACCTGACATGGTTCTTGGCATGCTGGAGGGCTGACCTGAGAGTATAGTTCCATCTGCAGATACCTTGATCTTTCAGAGCCTCCACAGCTCCCATGCTAGCAGCGACAATCCATGCTCTGCTTGTTGAACTCATCTTGCAACTACAATTTGATTCTTAAATTCTTAAATTGAAGAAGATGGGTATTAAAAAAATGGACAGATTTTTTATGTTTGTTTTGTTGATGGTGGTAAGGGGCTTCTTGTATATATAGGGAATAAAGAAAAGATAAGAAAGCCAAAAATCAGGGAAAGAAAGAAACCACAGGCTATTTGCTTATTGCTCGTGGTTTTGCGCAATGGTTTTCCTTTCTTTCTGGTCAGGTGGGATGTACTTGTACGCAGTTTGACTTAAAAGCCCAAACCACCTGGTTCGGAGGAAAACAAGAGGCATATGTACAAATAATTTACATATTTGATGATATAAACGATATCATTTTAAATGTTCGGATTGCAACTATAGTTGATTTTTTTCGTTAAATGATACATGTCACATTAAATAATTTTATAATTTATCTATTTTTAAAAAATTAAAAATATTATTATGTTTATAAAAAAATCTAATTTATCTTAAATTATAAAAAAACTCAAATCCCTACAAATTCTAAATTCCTAACTCGTTGTCGTCGTCCTTATCGGTCACGACCATCGCCATCGATGTATTTTATGCCATCCTCTTAGTCATATGTTGTCACTGTTAGTCGTCGGAATCGCGTGGGATTGAGATTTTTATCCCAGCTTTTGCGAGATACAAAACGTCCATTGATCGTAAATCAAATTTCGATCAATCATGATTTCATGGGGTATTGACCGCTGAGGGGAGGTGAGATCTGGTGGAATTTTTTTCAATGGAAAAGGACGATGGCTAACATTGCTTTAGAGGTTGAAAAGAAGATTTTCAAAGTTTTGGGGCTATTTCAAATTTTTTGTATTTTTTAAAATATAATTTTTATTTTTAATTTTAAATACAATTTTTAAAATTAACATAATGTGACATATGTCACTTAACAGAGGAAATTAACAACTTTTAAGGCCTGAACACTTAAAGTAACAACTATTATAAAGTTAGACACCATAATCATTCGAAAAATAATTTAAGCATATTTTCGTGAAAAGTGTTATAATTTGGACACTTATTTTATAATTAAGTCATCTTTATACAATTTTTTGTCTATCAAAGTTATTAAAATTTTACATAAATAAAACTCTTGAAAGCTCACGTGATTTATTTTGACGAAATATAAAATACAATTATTAGATCTTTCTAATCTAATCAACCTACAAATAATCAAAATAATTCTACGATTGACACATATACAAAATATCACTATAAATATTTTCGATTTAAACCGGGAAAAGATGAATCACTTATAATGGATTGATCTTCTTTTTTTCATGATAATTCACTCTCTTGTTTTTTCAAACACAGATCAATAATTATTCTTTTTATCACGACTCTTCGTCCAAACTAAAAGAGATGAATTATCGGGACCGATGATCTTATTTTCATTAACAAGATTAATACAAATTTTAAAAATAATTCTGAGTCAGTTTATGATTATTAAGTTTCTAGCGATTAAATTTTAAAAAAATTGAAAGAATTGATACATCATTTATCTTTTTACTCAAATCAATCGTATTTAATTAAAAATATTACATTACACAATTTTATTATCAGTTTTTTCGACATTCAAAAGATAAAGTAAAATGAATAATAAAATTAAATATTAAGGGAAAAAAGACTCGGTAAAACATATATAAATGATTTATTTAGGCTTAAAAAACACTCACTTGATTTCCAGAGTTATATGATATTAATGAGGTGGCAACTGGCAAGAGGACGTTACTTAAAAATTCTAAATTGTGCACTTCTATAGCCTGGGGACTGCTCTTTAATGGATGTATATACGTTTTTCGCAAAATATTCTTTTATCAATTTAATTTTGTGATAAATTTGATCATGGACAAAAATTACTCTTTTATCTCAAATTTAAAATGAAAACAAAAACCTCATGAAATGTTTATGTCAATTATTAAATATATTTAATGAAAGAGAAATCACAAAATTAAAACAAACACACCCACCCGTGGAAAACTCGGCCATGCCGCGGTGTGTTCGACTTCGATTTACCCGAAGGATGTTTGTTCTAAAGAATTAAGGCTTAGTTGGGACCCCAACAGCTCAAGTACATGATTGTCCGCCATGACTCTTCCGATTGTTTAGACTTGTCGTCCCTGCCCAGTCCCTTGGAAATTGCAGCTGACGATTGAGAAGACAGGACCTTGGCCTGTGAAGCAGACCTGACACGGTTCTTGGCATGCTGGACGGCTGACCTTAATGTATAGTTCCATCTGCAGATTCCTTGGTCTTTCAGTGATTCCACTGCTCCGATACTAGCTGCAACGATCCACGCTCTGCTGCTACTTGAACTCATCTTGAGAACATTGAATCTTGAAATAGGAGAAATACACACTGGTTTTGTGGTGGTGTTGGTGGTTGATTCAAAGGGGATTCTTATATTTGTAGAGTGGGGAATAGGGGATGGATAAGAAAGAAACTAGAGGCTATTTGCTCGTGGTTTTCTTTTGGTGTGCAGATAGGTTGGACTTCTATTAATATGACTTAAATGCCCATGTTGACGACATATGGATAAGTGCAATGAGTGGAATTTTTAGGATAATATGATGGTGATTGAGTGGATTAAAAAAATGGGCAGAGGGCACACGGGTTCTGCTTTAAAAATATTAACCTGGCTGGATTGTGGGAGTTAAAAACCACCAGTGTTATTGGGATTTGGAAAACAGGCTACAAGTTTGGAGGAAAACAAGAGGCATATTTTGGTAAATGAGCTGACCATTTACTGAATTCATAATTAAAGTAGTTGGCAATCTTTTTTTTTTAACTTATCACTTAGGATTGCTACGTGTTTCCCTCTTGTTCTAATCCACGTTGCAACAGGACCGGCTGACAGATTTATAATTAATGCAAATAAATATAATATTTTATTTAAAATCATGTTACATAAAATAACATCTATCGTTAATATATAACAATCACATGTAGCATAAAATATATGATTCACTTTTAAAAATAAAACCCCTTCAATAGAAGATTGCATATATATACAAGTTAAGGTCCTTCAAGGATTAGGTTTAGGTATTTGCCGTGGAATATGTGTGGTGTGCAAGAACCTGATGAAAACTATGGAAAACAAAAACTACAGGAAGTAAATAGTAGTCATCTTTATTGTATATTTTGCTCAACAGTACAATGTGCATTTATAAAGGGAGCTACAGCTAAACACTGCGTAACTGTAAACAGTTACATGCAGTTAACCCTAACTACTATTAGAAACTTCTCAATAGACCTCACACACACAATCATATTCCCCCCCTCTTCATATGTTCAATATTCTCCCTGCCTGTTTTTGTCTTCCTTGAAAACCTTGTACCTGCAGCTTGTCTCGAAACATTTCAAACAGCCCCCGGGACACTGGTTTGGTCAAGTCATTTGCCACCTGATCATTGACCGGAACATAACTCACTTGTAATACCAGTATATACCTTCTCCCTTACAAAATGAATATCAAGATCCACATGCTTTGAGCGATGTTGGAAATGAAACACTCACACAAACAACTTTTATTGAAACTCAAACAAATATTACAAGAGCACTCTCACTCAAAAACAAGAACTACAATTCACTCTTATAAGACTTTGCTTCTTTACTCACTTAGAAGCTCTTAATTTTTCTTGATGCTTAAACTAAAATGGGGAGGGGTATTTATATTACTCAAGAACAATCCTACACCACACAAATAAAATAATTTAAACCATTAAAGTCTACAAATACCTAACTCTCACCTAACTAAATTGATGTAAGCAATGACATCTTCATCTAATTAATGTAAGCAATGACATCAATTTAGTTTGGGTTTGGGTTTAGGCTCTCATAATGGATCAAGTTTATAATCCAACACCCCCTTAAACTTGATCTTGTGACCCCTAGTAAGTTCCTTAATCTTATGAAGTCTTCGCTGGTCAGTGGCTTGGTAAAAATATCGGCAACTTGATCTTGTGACTTCACGTATTCAGCTTCCACATCGTTTCTTGCAACACACTCCCTTATATAGTGGTAGCGAATATCAATGTGCTTGCTTCGATCATGGAATACTGGATTCTTTACTAATGTAATGGCTGACTTGTTGTCGACACAAACCTTGGTAGGCTCTTCTTGTATCAAACCTATCTCTTTCAATTGATTTCTAAGCCAAATTGCATGACAAACGCATGAGGTAGCAGCAACATATTCTGCTTCACAAGTGGACAATGTGACAATCGGTTGTTTCTTTGACATTGACATCCATGTGAAAGCAGTATCTCCCATGAAAAATACGAATCCAATAGTGCTTCTTCGATTATCTATGTATCCACCCCAATCACTGTCGCTATATCCAACAAGCTTGTAATCATTAGAAACTGAATAGAACAAGCCAAAGTCAATTGTACCTTTCAGATAGCGAAGAATTCTCTTTGCGGTTTTAAAATGGGTGGTTGTTGGAGATTCCATGTAGCGACTAACCAATCCAACTGCATGAAGAATATCGGGCCTCGTGCAAGTTAAATAGCGTAGACTTCCCATCAAACTTTTGAAGAATGTTGGATCTACACTTTCGCCTTCTTCATGTTTGGACATCTTGATCCCATATTATGTCGGTGTGCTTATTGGCTTACAGTTCTCCATCTTGAACTTCTTCAGGATCTCCTTTGTATAGCTTTCATGTGAAATGAAAATTCCATCATTTTGTTGCTTAACTTCAATGCCAAAGTAGTACGCCATGATCCCCATGTCTGTCATCTCGAATTCCTTCATCATCACATCCTTGAATTCATTAAACATTTGTTGAAGCCATTCTCTTGAAAGTACTTATAGATTCGGCTATTCCATGCCCTTGGTGCTTGTTTTAGTCCGTAAAGAGCCTTATTCAACTTCAACACCTTGTCTTCTTGCCCTTTGACTTCATAGCCTGATGGTTGTTGAATATAGACTTCCTCTTCAAGAACTCCATTTAGAAAAGCAGACTTTACATCCATCTGTTGTATCTTCCACTTGTTTTGAGCTGCTAAAGAAATGATTAGTCTGATTGTCTCCAATCAAGCAACAGGAGCAAATACCTCATCATAGTCAATTACAGCCTTTTGATTATAGCCTTTCAATCTCTCCTTTGGCGTTTTGCTTTATTTTGTACACCCATTTGACACCTATCGCCTTATGTCCATTGGGAAGTGAGGTAATTTCCCATGTGTCATTCTTCTCGATGGCTTTGATTTCTTCGTCCATAGTATTTCTCCATTTCTTTTCTTGTACTGCTTCTTGAAAGCCCACTGGTTCACAATCGACAAACAGACAAAATAATGTAAGATTATCTTGTCGTTCAGTTACCTCATAGAGATCTCTAAGGCTTCTTTTATGTTGCACAACTCTTTCACTTTGACTCCCACTTGACGATGACGAAGGTGATGAGTCTCCTTGAGTGGTTAATGTTGGTGAAGTGGGTAGAGTTTTAAGCTCTTGTTGAGGTTCACCTAGTTGTTCTCTCATTGTCTGTTCATCTTCTTCAAACTGAGGAAAGAAATTGAAGTCATCTACATGAGAGTTAAAATCACATTCTTCTTCTTCGTTAAAGACCACATCTCGACTAATCACAAACTTCTTATTGTATGGATTGTACAACTTGTAGCCCTTCGAATTTGCATCATAGCTGATAAAGATAAAACTGCCGCTTTTATCATCAAGCTTCGTTCTTCTCTCGTCTGGTACGTGAACATGGACTATACTTCCAAAGGTTATCAAGTAGGAAATGCCAGGCTTTCTTCCACTCCATGCCTCTTGTGGTGTCTTTCCCCATACACTTCTTGTTGGAGATCGGTTTGTCAAGTAGATTGCACACGCTACTACTTCTGCCCAAAATTCCTTGGGTAGTTTCTTGCTTTTGAGCATGTTTCGTGCCATGTCGATGATTATTCTGTTCTTTCTTTCTGCCACACCATTTTGTTGGGGGGATCTAGGAACTATCATTGGTCAACGAATTCCATTTGCTTCACAGAACTCTTGAAACTCCCTGGAAGTAAATTCTCCACCTCGGTCGGATCTTATGGCTTTGATCTTTCTACCGTTTTCTCTCTTCACTGCTGCTTTGAACTTCTTGAAGACTTCAAAAACTTCTGACTTATGTTTCAATAAATATACCTAGGTTTTTCTTGAAAAATCATCAATGAAGAGAAGAAAGTAGTTACTGTTACCGAGATAGCTTGGCTTAATCAGTCCACACACATCGGTATGGATCTGACTCCTTTGGAAAGCTTTTCATGAATTGATTCTCGACTAGACACCCTTCACAAAGTTGGTCAAGATGGTTGATGCGAGGTAGTCCCTTCACCATCTCCTTCTTAGATAGCAGCTCTAGACCTTCAAAATTGAGATGCCCAAATCGAAGATGCCAAAGCCATGATGTATCTTTGTAGCAAGCTTTCAGGTACTTTGCAACATCATTTTGTATGTTGATTAAGAACATTCTATTCTTTGACATCGACACTTTAGCAATGAAGTTATTCTTATAATCTTTTATAGAAAGATTATAATTATTCATATGAATATCATAACCTTTCTCTACCAGTTGCCCTAAACTTAAGATGTTACTTTTCATATTGGGCACATAGTAGACATTTGAAATAAATTGATGTCTCTCATCTTTCAAACGGATAAGAATGTTACCTCTCCCTTTCACTGCTATTGTGGAATCATCTTCAAACGAAACATTTTCGCTTACTGACTCATCTAGCTCCACGAACATGACTTTCCTTCCACACATGTGATTGCTTTCACCACTGTCAAGATACCAAGAATTTGCTTGGCCATCATCCGTTTCCTTTCATGCTAGAAGAAGAGTTTACTTGCCATTTGTCTTTTCCTCCACATAGTTGACCTTCTCTTCAATTTTGTTGTTGGGAGCTCTACATTCTGAGGCATAATGCCTAAACTTCTGATAATTATAACATCAAACTTGAGATTTGTCATATCTCGAGTTCGGATTGATTCTTCCACGGCCTCGTGTTGAGCTTTCTCTTTTCTCATAGTTATTGTTGGAATTATTGTTGTTATAATTCCAGCCTCGTCCACGACCTCGACTTCCACCTCGTCCATGGCCTCTACCTCTGCCTAGGCCATGTTGGTTTCTATCATTGTGTTGGCTTTCATGTATATCCTTGAGTTGTAGCTTGAGGAGTTGCTCAGTAAACTCATGTTTCTTCTTATGTTTCTCTTTGTATGCTTGCAATGATCCTTAGAGTTGCTCGATTGTCATTTCTTTTAAGTCTTTAGTTTCTTCAATCGTCACGATGATGTGCTCAAATTTGGGATCCAACGAACGAAGTATCTTCTCTATTATCCTCATATCTTCTAACTTTTCACCATTTCTTTTCAATTGATTAGAAATAACTACTACTCTTAAGAAATAATCTAAAATAGACTCGGATGCTTTCATGTGTAAGGATTCAAATTCACATCTTAATGTTTGGAGACATACCTTCTTCACT